AGACTGTTTATATCTCTATTCAGAAGTTGCTGCTGCACTCATTTATTTCTAAATACTTCTGTATTTCTAAATTTCCAAGATAAAAGGAATAAAACCAATAAAGGAGGGAATACACTCCTACTAATGGTTTCTCACTTGTTAAACACAAAACCTCATTCCAGCAAATGCCTTGATAAGCAACCATAAAAAAGACCTTCATTTTCCTTTCCTTTTAGATTAACAATTCTATGGCACTTGGGGAAGTATCTTCTATAAAGCCCGTGCCAGGGAAAAGAGGTAACATAGTATACCACAGGCAGCTTTTTTACTTCAGTCTTTTTTAATTATAACTTGAGCTAAGTCTAAATTTGTGTCCATCTATTTTTTACAGTCAAAGAACTATACCTCTTTTCTTCTGCCTTTATACTTCTCATATGCCTGAGAGAATTATAGTGTTGAGACTCATTATACTATAGATAATGAAATTACACCTAATATGTATAGAGTATGTTATGTTTATTAACTCATTTAATTCTTTTAACATTCCAATGAGGGATGTTCTATTACTAACATCCCAATTTTAGTCACGAAGAAATTCAGGCACTGAGAAACTAAGTAACTTGTCCAGAATCACACAGCCGCAGCTGGGATTAGAACCAGCGTCTCATGCTCTTAACCGCTACATACAGTCAGCAAAGCAGAGTTAACTCTCTGTTAACAGCAACCATGATGGGCAGTCGTTTTAAGGTTTCCAAGATCTCATTCCACATGTGAATTTAAAGATTACATTATTCTCAGAGAAAACCATCAGAGTAGAGAACAAATGTACTACTGCAACAACGTTCTTGTTGATCAAATAATTTTAGAGCACATTTTTAAAAATTAAATATTTCCTGCATATTCATAAAAAGAAAACTACTTAGAAAAAGAATTATGAAAATTATGGATTCTTTTGCCCAAAGTACATATTGGTCATATTAAAAACAAATTTATAAATTAATACATATACACTCAGATACATGTAAAGATTTGTATCAGTTAGATTCCTCCTCTGTAAATAACAGGGATTGGACTACATCAGTGGTTCTGACTTTATTTTAGCCAGAGGGCTACAATATTTTAGCAAGCTGCCCTCCCATTCTTTTTCCCACTTTCGGGTAGCCCTTATGAGTGCTATATAACTATGGAGATAAGAAAGCTGAAAAAAGAGAAATCGTACTTTAATTCTAGAGAAAACTCAGGGGCCCTAAGACATGATATTTCTACTTAAAATACGTGTTTTAACATGGAATCTTCAGAAACACATCTAGAAATAAGTACATTCACTAACAAGCACACTCACCTTCCGTTGAGCTGAATCCTATCAGCTAACTTGGAGAACTGGTCTGGAAGTCGTCTCTGTTTTATGACGCCCTCGGGAGTGACAGAAACTTCACAGAGAGAATACGTGTCGGATGGACCAGTCAAACCAAACTCATGAACAGCATGACAAACAACTTCTTTAGCTGTCGTGTCTTTACTGATGATAATGTAGCAACTTTGCTGATCAGCTTTGAAAACTCTTATAACTTGATCAGGAATATCTATATAAATATAAAAATGTGTTGTTATTTTTAAGAAAATGACTCTCTTCAAAAAGCAATGTGAAACACAATGATCCCTTTAAACAGTGAAATATACATTTGCATTTCAGGAGGTTGACAGAAGTCATTGCTGCATTTACTGATAAATAAGTGT